TGATCACGGTCTGTGCCCTGAATATCCCGCGGCGTAATTACTGGCAGCGCGAGCCAGTTACTATAAGTTACTATAAGTAACTGGCTCGCGCTGCCAGTAATTACGCGGCGGGATATTTAGGGCACAGACCGTGATCATAAGATAGCGCGAATAGAAAATAGAAAATAGACTTTTAGAAAATAGACATTGCATGTGAACGAAGCCTTATACAGACAGCTAGTACAGTTGGAATTAATATAGTAAGTGGAATAAATATAAAGAGTAAAAAAATAAATGTGTATGATATTACTGTATATATGATAGACTGTTTAAACAAGTTAAACAAATGATGAAGTAAGACTAAGGGCAATGAAACCTCAAAGGAAGAAATAAAGGAAAAGAACTACACATTTTAATTGTTTACAAGACATTTTCTGTCGTAGAAAAGTTAGGAAGCTGATATACAGCAGTCATTCAACACAGATAATCTTTTCTTCAATGTTACAATAAAAAATTATTGATTGTTTCTGATTTCTATTGAAAACCTACTAGTGCAAGCATGCCTTTTTTACAAAGTTATCAACAATCAACAAGGCCCTATTTTGTCCGGATCAGAAATAAGCCCAATATGTCTCTGTCATATTGTGACTTAGGTATGAAATAATTGTCTCAGTTTACTATGATTATTGAGAATGTGGCAATCTGGGTTAACTGGATTGAAATGTATTCAGAGATACCACCCACCTAAAAAAAAGCTTCCTAGACATAATTCTCACACACATGTACAACACAGATATAATGATTTTCCAGGTCCAATCTTTGAGTGACCACTTTATCTGTGCAGTATGTATGTCACAGATGAAGGACAGCCACTTGACCCCCTGCGGACACCGTTATTGTGGGGATTGCATCAAAGAATGTGTGAACAGGCGGCACAAGTGTCCATGTTGCAACAACAGGATCCGAGTAAATGATTTGATAAGAGATCATCAGTATGATGAACTTGTTTGTGAGTATAAATGCAGACATTCAGTCTTTTTATTATATGAAACAGGTTTAATTATCAGTATGGTAACAATTTTTATGTGAATGTTTTTACTCAGTCTCTGTACCAGTATTTAATTTTATTTCAACAGGTTTGTTTAACAGTGAAAGAGAAAAAGCAGAGAAGAAGTACTTCGATATCCTTATCAATAAAGGTAAGAGATGCTATGCTATGATCTAGTATTATAACACACAAGTATGTTGATAAGGAATCTATAGACAGTTATTTGATGGCTATCACTTTTAACAGTACTTTTATTGTAATTCATGCAGGACTGATTTGTTTATGAATATATAATTTTTAAATAAAAGTTATTATTTCACTTATGATTAAAAAACTACATTGCAGCTGCTGAAACTAACCAAGAAGAAAGTCCATCTAGTTTTTCACCAGTTGAAAATGTTCTGAAAAGTGAGTAATTTTGAATGTGTAAACACATTTAAGGGGAGATGGAATTTTTTCATGTGTTTCCCACCACTAATCATGTTGTAAAATATTACATTTGATATTTTCCTACTTTGCATATGTTTCAATGTTTTTCACATGCTACACCCAACAAATGCCGTCAGTCACTTTTTCCAAGACCAGGACACAATTTTACCATATTTCAAATAGCTACAGATGCTTGACAAAATGTAGAAAACGGTATCAAATGGTAATTGTTAACTTCAATGAGCAAACTCTAACAATAATCCAATTTGAATGGCATTAGCGAAAAAATGAACCTTTTTTACAAAATTTTTTCTTTTTTTTTTTTTTGGACAGTATAATTAGTGTTTCATCTTCTCTACTGTTTGCTTGGAATTTTACAGATTATTACTTGACATTAACTGATGAAGTTTTTACATGTACTTATTAAAACCATCATTTGATAATTATTTCAGACCATGTAAAGAAGAGTTTGGTGGCACATGAAAGATATTATCAGGTGAGGATATGTGCTATAGTGCAAGAAATTATGCAGATCTCATTTTTATTAATTTACTCCTGTGCTTAGCAATGTTTTTCTGTAGTGCACATGTAAATAATCACCACTTTGGTGGTGTATTTGGTTAAAGGAAGTGTCAGCATAACATCACGTTGACTGAAAGCAAAAGACTAATTATTATACATTTTATTCCTAAATGTCAGTGTTCTACACTAAGGTAATACCAAAAGTTTCAACTTTGCTGTCTCTTGACATTGTTTTCTGATTGATATTATGTTTCCTTTTCTGATGTTTAAAAAAAAAAAAAACATCAATGATCTGAATGATGTCATAAATCAATATTATGTTTGATGATGAAATCGTAATTCAATGTCATGTTTTATCAGACTGCAACTTTAAATGCATGCAATTATAATCTATGCTAATTATGTATTAATAAAATATATTTCCTTTGCCAATCAAAATCAGACCTATCATATCCCGCTTTTTGTCAGGAATTAAAACGTGAGCATAAGCAGAAGCTGGCCCAGCTGGATGCTGACCACCAAAGGTTGATAGAAGAAGCTAAAATGCAGGGGCTAACAGATGATGGTGAGATACTAGTAATTGATATCTATGACTACATATTATATCTCTGAGCCACAATGTAATGGGGAGGACCGTACAGACTAGACACATGGATTATTAGTACCACCAGCGTGTACGCTGGCGGTACTCATGTCCCGACCCGTCTCGTACANTCTCATTTGCCTTATTTTCTTGTTATTCAACTTCCTGATAGTCCCCTGAATTTTTTCCATATGCTTCTGAATTTTTTGTTCTCTTGGTCTAAATTTCTGCTGATGCATCTTACGGCAGTGCTTACCATGGCAGTGTGGTTGATGAATTTTATCATGGTCACCATTTTTGTGTAGTTTTCCTCCATGTCCTTTTCTATTCTTATGTAATTTAACTCTATTTTCTTTTCTTTTCTTATATTTGTCTAGCTTCCTATCATCTCCTTTCAATTTTCTCAGTGGTCTAGATTCTTTATGTTTAACATGATGGCTTTTCTTCTTTTCCTTTTTCTTTTTATCTTTTTCCCTGCTGTTTTTCTCCTTTTCCTTTCTGGTGTGTCTCCCGTCCCAATATTTATTTACTGTGTCAGCGACTCTTTTCACACTGTCCTGAACACTTGTTTTGACTTCATTATATGTAGACTGGTGATTCTGTACAAGCTGGCTTGACATGTTTCGCAGCCGCTGCCTTAAAGTGTACCTTAAAGTTATGCTGACAGATTTAACTTACCTCCATTAGCAGGATGGTATGTATACCTAAGCCTGCCTAGCTGCATTTTCAATCCTTCATTTTCAGTTTGAAGGATGTTAATTCTATTCTTGAGAGGCTCTAGTTCATACTGGAACTTAAAAATAAATACAATCAATAATAATAAAAATATAATTTTCAATGATAAATTAAAAAATAACAAGTCCTACAGTCAAAAGAGTCAGATCAATTAAAAGATGTGTAGGAAAAAAAGTCTCATGTCAGGTGTCATGAAAAACCTGCATAGATATGCATAGATATTTATTATCCTACCTTTGTGTCCATGGTGTCTTCCTTTTCTTTCTGTTTGGCTTCAAGATCGTGTAATTTTTCTGCAAGGGTGGTAATCTGACTCTGATAACTTTCAAGGAGACTGCTTATGCCTTTTTCAAATGGTACGTTTAAAGTAATTTCCTTTTTTTTCTAGAATACCTCACCTGAAATATTTTTTTTTATTTCTGGTTTGTTTGAAATCTTTGAAACAATAAGTAGCCTATTGGTATTAGCGCTAGCCCCCCTTCCCCTACCCATGGACCCATTAGGTCCATGCCCTACCCAAACTTTTATTCCCGCAGATCTTTGAGTTACATTTTCATATGTCTCCGACTTTGAAAACCAACAACATAACGATACAGGACAAAACATTAGGTGAATGGGCCACGAATCCAGTGCTGTTATAGTGACGTCGCCTAATAGTTGTGTTGTTAAAACTTGTAATGCTTGTAGGTTTCTTTTTTGCATGTCTTTCGCGTCCGACACTTTCGTTTTGATCCTTTTCGCCGTGCTCAATGTTATCGCTCCTTTTTTTCTCTCTGTCTTTCTTTGAGTTTACTTTTTTATGTTCCTTCTGCCTATTGGACTTTGGGTATAAGTTGTAGCCTTTAGGTCTTCCGTTGCCATGGTTACAGTAATCCGAACTGCACGCAGACATACAGGTGTAAAAGAATGTGTCGTCTGTACATTTATTTCCTCTGCTTGGTGCACAGCTTCGTGCAAAAGAGCGGATGCTTTTTTCACCTACATCCAAGTAAAAAGGACAGCATTACATACAGAGCAATATGTTATAACATGAAAGCTTTCCAAGTCTTCGTCTATACGAAAAAAGGACAAAGAGAAGGGGAGACACTGTAAGCAATGCGATTGAAATGGATAATACAATTAAAGGTTTATGAATATTAGACACGTACTAAACAGGGGCGTAACCAGGCATACGCACAGATGCACTGTGGGTACAATTTTTTTAGCCAACCATGATATTATTCTCCATAAATTCAGTGTATTTTTCACGGAATATAATCGTACCTGGGAATTTTCAAAATCTAGTGCGTACAATTTTAAATGGTCTGGTTACGCCCCTGCTAAATTTTATCTTTTTCTAAACAGCTTAACTGAACTTAATTAGTTTGATCGTAGTATCAATTAATCTAAGCAAATAAGGAAAGATAACCTTTATCATATTGTCTGAATATTGTACACTTAAATCCCGGCAATGTGCAGCGAACAGCATTGACACCTCTAGTGACATTCCATGGCTCAGTGACACATTCATAGTCAATCTCTGGGTTGCCTGATAAGGTGTAAGAACATGTATAACACCATGGATTTCCTAGAAGAAAAAAAAAACATCAAGAATTTCTCATGAACGCACTAGTATGCAAAGACTTTTCGCTAAAATAACTTTGCGTGAAGTGTTTGCCAAGAATTTTCCACTCTTTGAATAGACTACACGATTCCATACAGAGAAAATCTCTGCTTGTTAGAGATACATGTAAGCAGGTCAAGATTAACGCCCTAGTAACTGATTACTTTGACTATAGCGCAGACGGAACTCATCATTTCATTTGCCCGTTCTATACTCACTTTTCGCAGCTGAGAAACACCAATTCATGGCAAGCAGGCATGTCACGACCAAGTGTCTATACACCATGCCACCCGTCCTACAGCGCATTTTGAACTTGAGGGCTTCTTATATACCTCAGACAGTGTCTATAATATCGTATGTAAACATATAGATATACGTATACTTTGTTCATGTAATTTGCAACTACATGTGGTTTTCTTAAAACATATGTCACGCGTAACAGCTGGTAGTTACAGCTTATTTTTTTAAGAACTGGACAGTCATAAGTTTAGAATGAAGGTATGTTATTATTTTAAAAACTGCTCTGGATTTGAGGTTTAGAAAAAGTGCGTTTGTACACAGCCAGCCACGTTATAATATTACTATAACTGTGAGTTTTCTTATTTGCTTTCAAAAAAAAAAAAAAAAAAAAAAAAAGGGTTATGAAACTGATAGCGTTATTACTATGTATATATAAAAACACTTTATATTCTCGAAATATACGAAAAGCTAAGAGCGGCCTTTTCAACCATGCTTCTATTCAAGTTCAAAAAGACTCATCCAAGATCCCACCAAAAGGCTTGTAATGACAAAAAAAAAAAAAAAAATTCAAGAAATT